GCCGCCCCGTCTGGTAGGCGCTGGTAGCGCCTTAGACAGCTCCGTAAGGCGTAAGAGCCTGTGCGGGAGGCCGTCGGCCGGGACGATTTTTTCTGGGTACCCTCCTGGTGTCTTTAAGCAGCGCCTAAAGTTAGACCTTAACGGTAGAGACGCTGCAGCGTTGTGAGAGGCGCGGGGCTCTGTGGCGGTGGGCGCGCGTCCCCTCGGCCCCTCCGCCAGCCCGCGGGTGGGCCTGGTGCCTGGGAGGGACGTTCCCCGCCCGGGTCTGGCGATGCCTGGAAGGAGGCATGCTTCGGCTTCTGCCGTGCGCTGGAGCTGTGTCACGCGACGCCGCTAAAACCGGGATGACGGCCGTTCCATGTTGGGGTTGTGTGGGTCGGTGTTCTGTTTACAGATGCTGAAGCGAGCCCAGGCAGAGCGGGTTAGGGTTTCTGTGTGGCAACGTTGATGACAAATTTGCCTTTGTGATTTCTGTTATACATTAGCCTGGGGGGACGAAGAGGTGGTGGGTTTTTTCATCCCAGTGTTTTTTACCTTAAACTGGGATTAACTTTCGTATAGACAATGACGTAAATTAAGAGTCCAAAGCTCAGCTTCTGTGTCCAGATGTTATTTAGTTTGTTACATGGCACTTATTTCTGGGACAAAGGCTAATCCTCTGGAACACAAACCTTAACTGATGATTTTTAGAAGAGAGGGTTTTTGGGTTTTTTTAGTGGACTGAGTATCATCACTTCCTGAGAACAGATCATCTGTTTGCACTCTTTGAACAGACAGCCAATACTGTGAAAATGCGATGCCTCATTAAATTGAGAATTACAACACTCTCGGAAAACCCTTGCATGCTAACGTACAAAACTTGCCAGTGCCAACTACTGTGGGTATGCAGTTTTTTAACAGAAAATACATATAAAACAACCGTGCAAAGATCACATCAGAGACCTGTGAAACAGTTGAACTTCCAGTCGTTGCACCAAATGCAAAAGGGTATTATTATGTCAGACTTCATCCAAATGTCTAAAACTTACTTTCACAGAAATCATGTGGTTTTACTTTCATACTGATAGCCTGTAACAGTCTGTCTTTCTAGTATAGTACAGATACTTGTTTTTTGGGAAGGGGAGACGGTGTTACCTGCTCAGTCCTTTCAGGGCTTCGGTGTTTTAGGCCTTACCTCCTTAAGTGTGGCCTAGGAGGACAGAGCAGGTGAAAAACAGTGTGTTTGCATGTGGCTACATAGTTATGAATTGGTGTGTGCTCGTGGAAAGCAATAGTCGACAAGTGTTAAACTGGTTTGACAAACTCTGTAGACTAGAGCTGCTGCTAAGGGGAGCAGCTGTAAGGGATGCCCTTCTGCTGCACCATTCTTTTGCAGGCATGGGTGACTGGATAGTAAACCAGAGGGAATTTGTTCAGCTGAAACTAACGTTGTTCCCCTCCCTCCTCCTTCGCAGAACTGTTTTTCAGCTGGAGCAGTTCTCCAGTATAGTTTGCTATGGACTCTGCAAACACCAGCTCCAGAGGAAAGTTCTGGGAAAAGAGTCAGGGAAAGATAGGATTGTGTCTTCAGGCAGCTCTGCCCGCGGAAGGCGTTCAGCCAGCCAGAGCCTCAGGGCTAGTTTCCTGGTGGCAACAGGGATACGGGTGGACAAATGTAACCTTTTCCAGAGTTTTTGTCTTTGATTTTTCTGGAGAAGATCAAGTCCTTCTCAGGGCTAAGTCAGCTAGAATGGTTTAAACTGCCTTTACACTAGTTTTAATGACTCCAGGTTATTCTGTGGTGGAGCAGAGGAGGAGCATGTGCACGATCTGTGCTGTTAACTCTCAACCAAGGGAGTGGTGAATTCTTATACTGCCGAGACCAGATTCATAAGAGTCTTTGAACATACTCTCTGTTATAAACCTTAATGAAATTTTTAAAACCTCTTTCTCCTCAGCATGTCACTTGTTTGGTTTTAAGGTTTTTGTTTGTTATGCCACCACAGCTGTTTACCTAGTCTCTTTTTATACTATTAATGCTTGAGCTAGTCATTGTGCTTTCTTTATGGACTTCTTTAGTATTAATATTGGTAGAACTGAGTCTCTCAGAGTTCCCCTCAAATTATTAAAATGCTGTCTAAGGTAAAATGCATTGAAATCTGTGATGCAGTTTTTTTGCTAGCATTAGAACAATCTTGATGTTCTGACAGTACCTTTGCAAAAAGTAAAGGACAGAAGAATGGAAAATAAGCCTTAACTATAATTTGTATTTCTTAATACAATAGCTGCTTTCCTTGTTGCTGAATTAAGTTTTCACCGGCTGCTATTTTTGACAGTGAAAGGAAGAACCGAGGAGAAAACAAACTATGAAAGTATTGGTTATTGGCCTTGGAGGGTAAGTATTAGCAGATTCAATTTCCACTACACCTCAAGAATGGTCTTCCTTTCAGAATAAAGTGATGCTATTTCTATTTCGGAATGGATATTTTTTGAACATATATTACAAATACAATATATAATTGTCTCATTTCATGGCATATAACTCTTAAGAAATTGTTCTGTCTCTGTTGGAGATCTCAGGTACCACCTCTCTCTAACCTCTTTCTGGGCACTGCTAGATTTACTGTCTGAAAGCTGCTGGAACCTGCCAGAAAATTTGTAGAGGTAGAGAGTATTTAATGTGAATAAACTTTTGGGGAGGGGGAGGGGGGTTGGGATTGTGTCTTTTTGTCTAACTATATAGAAAAAGTGTGTGTGAGCTTGTACATATGTTTAAAAGATTGATTTTTGTCTTGATGCAGTTTTTGCTATGTTTTCTAACTCAGTGTAACAAATGGGGGGAAAACAACGCTGGCAGAAAAGCTTAAGAAAATGCTTCCCAACTGTGATATAATCTCTCAAGATGACTTCTTTAAGGTAACAGTATTGATGGAAAGACCTGAGAGGTACAAGTAGGCTCGAGTAGATTTTAGTATCATTTCTTCTCTTTTCAGTTCTCCTATTGATAAACTTTTTAAAATTGATGCTGCTTAAAATAAAATTAACTTCATCACAAAGAGAAATAAAATGAGCACTGTGGTAATTAAACTTTCATTGACGAAAACCACTGACTATATTCAGCAAAAAGAAGTTTACTGTCTTCTTTTATACCCTCTTAAAATAAGGAACAGGTGTATATTGGATGCATTTTCAAGCTACTTTGTGCTAACAAAGTTGATGATATTGTGTTAACTCTACACCCATACAGCAATAAGTAGTTCTTTGTCTTCCAGATCAAAGCAGAAAAACAACTTTTGCATTGATGTTGGAGTTGTTTGTTAAGGAGGGTGAAGGAGCTCTTATTTCTGAAGCAAAGCTCTAATTAACTGAAGCAGTATGATTTGAAGAATTTGTTGTTCTAGATCAAATACAGTGTTTGTATTGTATTTTAACAGTTGCATTCAGCAGTTTAATTTTGAAGATAAATTTAATCAGTTGGGATACAGAGGTGTATAACCGTTATGTTTGTAACTGAAGGGTATCTGTGACAGTGGTCATAAAAGCAGCCTTGAAAATACTCCACTTTTTCCCCTTCAGCCGGAGTCTGAAGTAGAAACAGATGAACGTGGATTTAAGCTATATGATGGTCAGTAACTTCGATGTATTGCTTTCGAACATTGTGCTGAAATTATGCTGTGCTGAGCTTCAACACTTCTTCCCCTCCACCTCCTACCCCTCTTTCCGAGCAAGGCAGTAAACAAGTGGTTGTTTAGCGTAATCCTTTGCTCAGTTTCTTTTAGCTTACTGAGATAAATATGAAAACTTGCTGAACTAGTAAATAGCTCGAAGCTAGTGCTTGATGTTTCCTTTTCTCTTAAATCTTTTCCTTTATTTCTGCAGTCAGGTCTGGTGCAGTAGCAAATGGTACTGTTTAGTTAAAAGTCTTGGCTTGCCGCACTGGCTTAAGTTTAACCTCATCACTTTCTATGTAATGATGGATTTTTTTTTTCACTTTGATAATGAACTCATGGGATATCACCATTGAGTCTCTTTCATTGTCATAGTCCAAACAGTCAAAACTTGGGTCTTATCCTGATGCCTTTATTTCATGACAGATCTCATATTGAGACCAAATGTTTTGAAGTTCATGGCTAATGCTGGCTCAGCGTCCTATGAACTTCTAGATGCAGATCCACTTTAGGATGGTGGATTGGTTCAGGTCATATCTAGCTGTGAACAGTTGCTTATTAGCTAATCTCTGTTGATACTTGGTCATCGCAAAACATGTTACTCAGAATGTTGTCCAGAACATTAAATTGTATCTGAAAGCTGACTCTAATCAACTATGCAGTCTTTGGCTCAACTTCTAGACTTCATGAAACTAGAATGTGAAGCTGGAGTGATAAATTGGACATTCTGGTTCAACTGTCTGTGTTTAATGCTGCTCTTAAAAGCTCCTCTAAAATGTGTTTGCTCTTGTGTTATCCGAAGGCTGCCTTCTGTCTACCATTAAGTACTTACCTAATATGTTCTTAGAAGTCTATAGAGAAACACAGGTGCTACATTGTGCTATGTGGCTTTGTGTGCCATCCTCCTTTCAATGTTGTGCATCCCCACCCTCTAAATACCTGAACCCAATAAAAACCCAAAGCAAAAAATTTTGAGTGCCCACTCCCTTCACCTGTGTCAAGTGACAATTGACAGAAGCATGGAGGTCTTGAGGTAAGTAAGTATTTACAAGTTTCGTGGAATAGGAGAACAGTCCTTTCAGTTTCTATTGTCAAGGGAAAGGCTGTGAAGTGAGTTCACACACTTTTCAATGCCACAGAGTGCAGAGACCACACTCACCAGAAATACGCCAGTCCTGGGGAAAGCTTTGATTTCAGGGTATCATCAGTGCAAACATGAAACTACTTACATGCGTGAGAGAAAATTTTGGGGGTAATCCTGTTCCCTTTCATTTAGACTTGTATGTATGATTATAATTTGATTCTTACTTATTAACCTAGGGGTACTTAAGTGTTCTTTTTTATCATTATTATTCTCTGTTTTTAAGGGGTGCCTAACTTTCTGTTTCCAACTAGTACTTGATGCACTCTATATGGATGAAATGGTGAAAAGTATTCACAATTGGATGAAAAGACCAGCAAGCTCATGTGTTGTGACAGAAGAGCCACAGAATACATGTGAAAATTTGAAAAGTACAGAAGACGTTTGTATTTTGATTGTTGAAGGCTTTCTGCTATACAATTATGAGTAAGCAGTAATATGTAACCTGGTATATTAAAAGCTGCCTGAAAAAGGAAGAGGGAACTAAATATGTTATTATCTTAGGCCACTTAATGAGCTATGGAATAGAAGATATTTTTTGACCCTTCCTTATGAAGAGTGCAAAAGGAGGAGGAGGTAAGATTTTTCAGTCATTGTTCACGGAGTCGCTGTACCCCCTAACCTGGAGTGGTTGTTTTGTACTAGCTTTTCTTCAGTGTCTGCCAAATTAAGCTATTAAGATCATCCATCCTCTGTGATTCCCAGGGAACACTGTGAGGGTATTCAACTAACATTAACAAAAGCATGCGGAGAAGTGTGGGGGTTTGGTTTTGGTTTGCTTTTGGGTTGTTGGGTGGTTTTGCATTTTAGAGCATGTTTTACAAACACTGGAAAGAGAATTTGTTGTCCAGATAAATTATTTAGATTACTGACTGCATGTTGGACTTAAAAGATGTTTAAAGTGAGAAGCAGTTTAAAAAAATACTATCTGTGGTTGAATACGGCTACGTGATGATTATTGTTAAAGTTCATGTGTGGTTTTAGTGTACACTTTGTTCACACTGTGCATTAGTTGTGCCGTATATCTGATGTAGATTATTGAGCCAATGTCTGACCTCCCTCCAAATTTGGAGCAATACTGTGTGCTTGGAGCAGCACATGTGCACAAAGTCAGAATCTGCTGGCTGAGTGAAGAAATCCTCTATTCAACTGGCTTTGGTTGATTCCACTTGGTTTCTCACTAGACTCACCTCTAAAGGACTTTAGTCCTAGACAAAACTGCTAGTCATCTAAAACCTGAGAAATAAAAAAGAGGGCGGGGGGAAGTAATTTGTTTTGGTAGCACTTTCAATGCAGCTTAATTTGTATGTAATACCTTTTTCAATTTAAACAAACAAACAACTTTTACCTTATCTTAAATGGAATTTGGTTGGCAGAAATAGGTAAGTTAGCAAGAGTTCGTATCACAGATTATATTAAAACAAAGGAGCCCCCTTTGTTTCAACAGTTATGCAGCCTGCCAGTCTGTTGGTTTGGTGGGGTTTTTTTGAATAGATGGTCTTATTAAACCAGCTGACACTAGAGGAAAATGTAAAACTTGTATGGGAAAGCAAATATATTTTTTGTGTAGCACCAGAGTCTATCAGCCAGCAGATACACCGGGGTACTTCGATGGACACGTGTGGCCTATGTATCTGAGATATAAAAATGAATTGGAAGAGAATGCAAGTAATGTTGGTATGGTATCTTTAAATTTATAAGATGCTTAAGTGTGGCATTTGTGCCATTTTTGTGGATTTGTGGGTTTTTTTGAATGGGACAGAGTTTTCTTCAAATGTTTTTGTGGCACTTGGACAGTAGGTTTGGACCTTTTGTTGGTTTATTTTTCCAGTCTATAGGGTTTTTGGGGTTTTATAATGAAAATTATTAAATTCAAAAATAGAAATGTTCTGATCACTAATTGAGTCCATTTAACAAGCGAGTTTGTGCGTGCAGTTGTGCACACATGCATATGGCTAAATAGGAAGCTTCTGAGACGATGGCTGATGCACTGGCAGAATTCTTCAGAACAGAATTGAAATCCTGGGTGAAGCCCTATAATAAGCAGAAGATACTTCCTAGGTGCTGACTGTACACACTAAGGTCACAAGTCTGGCATGAGAAGTGTCAAAGCCAGGCCAGCTGATAGGGCGCTGCCATGAGTTTGTGTGATGTTCGCACTTGTACAGCTGTTGGACTGCCTACTTCTGGAGTGGGGGCCAGAGGAAAGAGAAGTCACCCGGGTGGCTGCTTCATCAGCACGCTGCTTCTTACTGTGCAGTGAGAATGAGAACTGCAGTGCCTGCTCTTGACTTGCTCAGACCCTGAAGCTGAGGAAGAACTTGAGGTCTTCCACTGCATAGGAACCTTTCTGCTGAATTATTCCATTGCTTTACTGTCCAAACATTATTACCACTACCCTTATGGAGATTTTTATGCCAGAAAAACCTATAAATTCATTCTTAACTAGAATACTTTTCCATTAAGTTATTTTTTAACATGTAAAATTAATTTGGGAAAGAAGAAAAGGGAGGTATTGTTCTTGGTTTTTATTTTTTCATCTGAATACTGAAAACTTTGCTAATTGCTATTACAGCTAACTGGCATAAAACTCATGAAAACTTTTTTCTGTCTTAGTTTATTTGGATGGAACAAAATCCCAAGAGGAGCTTTTATCCTTTGTGTATAGTGATATAATACAGGAATTAAAAAAGCTGAGGGAAGGAGGTAAGTAATGTTACTGGAAATTGAATCTGCTTATCCCATTCCAAGATCACAAGAACCTAATCCTTCTGTATGAAAATACTGCAAGGATTATATACACCTGTATCTCCTTATGTCTTACAGTCCTTACATGTGTTTGCCTGTTACCCTTAAGTCATCATAACCTGTAACTTTAAGTTCCTTGAAATTGGATGTTCTGAAATAATAGGTGTTAATCTAATGATAAAATTATAATAAAAAAAGGGGGAACAGAAGGAATATGGGGCAGAACATCAATGAAAGCACATGTGTTGGTGGTATTCGTTTCTAATGTACAGTGATGTCATGTACAAACAGAGAAATGATACTACAGGTTAAATGTGCACTTTTTATTTTTATTTTAGATCAGCAGGTCACAGCATGATGATGTAGACAACCTGGGTTCCATCTGATACAAATTGAAAACCCAAAGACTGTCATACTTGGCAAGCCAACCAACTGAGCAGATGTTATGTGCATGTCCATACTACTAATTCATACAACACAAGTGGATTTGTAGCAGCTATTAACTCTAAGCCTCAGATATTGTTGAGTAGTATCAATAGTGCATTATTCTTTAGAATTGCTTTAATCAGTCATGCTTTGGCTGATCTTTAAATCTGATTGAATGTGTAAATTTTACAGAATAGAAACATTTTTATGTACAAAACTATAAACATTCAGTTCTGCTGGATTAATAAGCATATTTGAACATGGATGAATGCAATTTGAAGTGTTCATACAGGAATGACAGTGATTACCTCTAATATTGTTATGAGCTTCTATTCACTGATAAACATGGTTAGAGGAACTAGCTATATGCTGTGGCAATAGTAAGTTTAAGATTGTATAAGTTCTTACACTGCTTATTCAGTAGCTGAAGCTGTTACTGAATACATCATAACTGAACTTAGACTTGCTAAAGACCTCTGTGGTGTTTGTCAAGTAATTTTTATGTTGTGTATTGGTTGGAGCAGTTGGGAATGGATATTTAAAAAAATCCAAACAAACCTGAGGAGAAGTCAGGTTGTTGGAAAGTGATGGGGGAATAAGATGTCGGAGAGAATGCAGATGCATTGCTAACAAGATTAAGTACATGTATTGTGCAGAAATCGAGGATTGGGATGGCACAGACTACTAGGCAGTAAATGCATGCTTCAGGGAGGAGGAAGGAAGAAATAATTCTTATTAATATTCATAGCTCAGGGTGAAATTACAGTAACGAAAGTGTTCAGAAAGCAGGTATGCTGAACATGTTAAAGCTTTGTTATATGATTCGTGTACGTGTATTTAGACAAACTAGGAAACTGGGAAGTTGAATCACATTCGGTTGCTAAGTAATGTATTAACTCTTAATTTTTCTATACAGTATCTTACATTTTTATAATCCAGAATAAAAATCAAGCTACAGACATGAAAAGCAAAGGATGGGCTATATTACTTACTATGCGTCAGCTGAACTGATCAGAGTGATTGAAATGTAATAGTTCATTGTTAACAGTATTAGAAGTCCTAAACTCATGTAGAAGAAAAAGGTCTTAAACAGATTAGAGCTGTATAAAGCTGTGTTTAAGACAAACTGCTTCTAAATACTATTTTGTATTATTATTTTGCAGTAAAAATACTTCAAGTTGTATTTGCTTACATGCAGTGATGGTCTGTCTGACTTTAAACTGTATTTTTGTTTTTATTCCCCTTCGGAAGGGGTACAGCTGTGAGAAATGAGCTAATACTTGGCTGGTTGTGGTAGGTTGACCTTGGCTAGCCAGCAGGGGCCAACCAAAGCCCCCTATCACTCCCCCAACTAGACAGGGGGGAGAAAAAAATAAACAAAAGGGTCATGGGTCAAGGTAAGTACAGGGACATCACTCAGCAATTACAGTCACAGCCAAAACAGACATGGCTTGAAGAAATTAATTTATTGTCAATCAAATCAGAATGGAATAATAATAAATAAGAACAAATTTTCAAACATCTTCCCCCTACCCCTCCCTTCTTGCCTAGCTGAACTTCACTCCCACTTTCCCCCTAAGTGGCGCAGGATGATGGAGAATGGGGGTTGTGGTCTGCTCCTAACACGTTGTCTCTGCTGCTCCTTCCTCCTCACACTCTTCCTCCACTCCAGCATGGGGTCCCTCCCCACAAACTTCTCCAATATGGGTCTTCTGGATGGGTTGCACTTCTTTACAAACTGCTCCAGCATGGGTCCCCCATGGGGTCACAAGTCCTGCCAGGAGCCTGCTCCAGCGCATGCTTCCCACGGGGTTACAGCCTCCTTTGAGGCACATCCACCTGCTCTGGCATGTGGTTCTCCATGGACTGGAGGTAGATATCTGCCCTACCATGGACCTCCATGGGCTGCAGGGGGACAGCCTGCCTCACCCTGTGTAGGGTGCTAGGAAACTTTGTTAGGGTAACATGGGACAGTTCACTACCCCCCATCCTAGTATGCAGAGTCCCAAGCATGTCTTATCTCCATGTTATGGTAAGCTGGGGTAGTTCGCTTCCCCCCATCTGCACGCACCCCTGCAGGGGTGCCAACGTGAGGGCCAGCTGCGGATCTCAGAATTCAGACAACAGCACCGGCGTTACATCAGCGAGTTTGCTACTGAGCAAAACAGGACAGTGCATGTGCATCGTCTGTTAAGCAGTGCAAGTTTTATTATCCACCCCTGCGGTGCTTTCCCTTGAGCTTCACTCCCAAGCTGGGCTCCACTGCGTCGGGTCGCCATTTCGTTCGTGTTTGGCGCCCTGGGGCTCCCACCGTGGTAACACTATGCTTCCCATGAAGCCAAAGCTTTCACTTGCTGAGTGCTGTGCCTCGTCCCGGAGGGATCCACACCTGCCTTTCACTCGTAACACCATGGTCTTCACCATGGGCCACAGGGGAATCTCTGCTCTGGCACCTGGAGCACCTCCTCCACTTCCTTCTTCACTGACCTCGGTGTCTGCAGGGCTCTTTCTCTCACATATTCTCACTCCTGTCTCTCAGCTGCTCTTGCAGTTTTTTCCCCTTCTTAAATACATTATCACAGAGGTGCTACCACTGTTGCAGATGGGCTCGGCCTTGGCCAGTGACAGGTCTGCCATGGAGCCAGCTGTCACTGGCTGTATTGGATCTGGGGGAAGGTTCCAACAGCTTCTCACAGAAGCCACCCCCTAGCCTCCCTGTTACCAAAACCTTGCCACATAAGTCAAATACAACAGTGAAAGAAATAAATTTGTTGTTGCTTTTCCTATCCCTGCATGGAACTTGCAGGATTATGGTGTCCCTTTGATAAACCTTTGAAGTATTTTCTTACACGGAGAAATGTGAGTACAACTTAAAATAGTATGTTTGTTCCAGAGGAACATAATGGATCAATTTATGAACTGAGAAGGATAGGAAGTGAAGGGATAAGACTTAATGAGCTCCTCTCAAGAGGAGGAATAATTTCAATATTGGCAGTCCCGGAGTGACTTTATTCAGCAAGTTTAGCTGTGATTCAGAAGAGGGAATGGACAATGAGATCACCCAAGTTCACAGATGATACTGAGCTTTCTCAAGTAGTCCATTGGTCCAGTAGCAAGGGAGTCAGTTTTCTGAGATCCTTTCGTGAGTTCCAGTATAGATTTATGCATTTGTGGTGTAAATAATTTATCAGAATATACATGTTACTGAAATCGTAGTTACAGCTCAGGGCAGAGATCTTTGACAATTCTTCTGAAACAATCACCACAGTGTGGAGCTGCATGAAAATATTAACCAGGCATCTTATGGAAGGGTATTGTGAACAAAACAGGTGGTGCTGCTTTGCTCCTGTGTAAAACCAGCAGACCCACATGTTCAGTATTGGGCAGTTCCATTTTGTACATCTGGATGGAGTCATAGTGGAGTTAAAAGAAGGGCAACAAATGTGATGAAGAGAACGGAGCAGCTGCTTTATGGGGAGAGACTGAAAATGCTGGGACCCTTCACTCCGGAGAGAAGACTGAGGGGAAAAAAGATTAAGGTTTACAAAATCTTGAATGCTGTGAATCAAGTGGATGCAGAACTAGTATTCAGCAAATTGTACAACAAATACTGGTTTAGGGGGCACTCCTGCTTCACTTGAAACAGACTGACCAATGATATTAAGGTGATATGTCACAGAGCAGACAGTGAGCTTCTGAAATTTAAGGAAATCACAGGAAGCAGATAGTACCAGCAAATTCAAAAGGGATTGGGAAGACATGTTAACACCACACCCATGAGAAGTACTGAAAGAAGCAAGCAGGGCTACAGCATGGGTGGACTGTAGAAACTGGCCAGGCTCAACTGTGGTGCTTAAATTGTGTGTCCTCTTGCCAGTTGCTACAGCAATCCACCTCAGTGGGAAAAGACAATGAACTCTTCTCTTCTGAGTCTCTTTGGGAGATTAAGTATTTCAGGTGCCATTACAAAAGCCTACAGAACTCACCTGCAACGTCGGCAGGTTGGCAGAATGCTTTTGCTTTGAAGGTGGTACAGCCCCTGGCAAGAAAAATACCGTTTGCCCCTGGCAGATGCCTTTCGAGTGCTAGGGCTGTGCTAGCTGTTAAGTGGTTGGGGAGAGCTGCAGCACAGGAGCTTGTGCTTCTTTTGTGAAGAAAGGATGGTTTTTTGGAAGTGGTGTCACCCTCTGCTGGCTGCAACATCAGGCTGTCATAGCTGGAGGAAAGCTTTGCTCAGTGTCTTGCATATTTTTAAAAACACGGTGGCAATACAGGTGCTGTTGTTCTATAGGAGGCTAATGACATATATATAAGAAGCACAGAAGTGCAAGTACAGGATCAGTTTGACATCAAGAAGGTGATTTCTTCATAATGTAAATATAACGGAAAGAACATGATAACGTAGTAATTATAAACACTAATGTAGTAGGAACAAACTTTATCTCACAGAGCTATTGCTCCCAGTCTAACCTTAAAAGACTAAAAGCTGAATTTCTAACAGTTTACACTGTATATCACTGATTCAGATGTTGGTTTGCCACATACATGGAGTTTCATACTTCATAAAACCACTTAGTGTGCCCTTGGGAATAATGACACTTTTGTCCACCTGACACTGTAAAAATAAGTCACAGAAGAACTCTCTAAGACTTAGTTCGAAGTTTTAGAAGGCAGGCATTCTTTATTTACTGTGCCACATGCATGGGGGATAATTCCACCTAGTGTGCATGCTGCACAGAGCAACAAGTGGTGCTTATATTGTTCAATAATATACACATGCATAGTTTGTTCCCGGAATTTTCATACATCTTCATATTGTTTCCAAGAAATCGTTTACATTAAATCTGCCTTTCTCTGGAATCTGCGCAGTGAGTAGTATTCCAGGTGGCGTACCTCCTTGTCTTGGTTGGCTGGTCTCATCCAGTGTGAAGG